CAGTTTTTAGTTGAAACAAAGATTCGGGAAGATAAACAAGAAATTTAAAATAAGGCGATCTGATAACTTTACAAGAAAAATTTCTACAAAGAAAATTATATACGACATTATCTAATTTACATTTACATTTAATCTAACAGTAAAACTCAATGAAATAAAGTTTATTTTTATTATTGAAAAAAAAAATGGAAAAAATGTATGAGTAGATTGGCAACACTCCCAGAATATCCCGCGGGATCGTCATCCGGCAGTACTTGACGAATTGAAACAATTTATAAATAAAACACGCGATTTTCTTCATATAAAACGGAATTTATTAGACAAGGATGAATTGAAATTTGGCGTGAAAACCAGTTTATTTTTATGAAGCTGCTGAAGAAATCTGATCGTCATGCAGAGGGAAGGCCATTATTCGCTTCATTCATGGGATTGATGTCGCCAAAGTCTATAAAACTGTCAACTAACGGAAAAATATCAACCACAAAAGTAATACCGACAATCTAGCATTCTTTCTAATTCATACATCAACAACTATGGTGTTTCCATGCTATTTATGATTGGTGGGACCACTCGAGAGATCTTTTTATGACGTCACTAGAAGCGAGACCATTAACAGTTAGCCTTAGAAATGACGATATAACTCTTGGTTGCCCAGTAGTGTATCTTTTTACGGCCATACATCCGAACAGCCATCAACGATGGTTCCTCCATAGTTTTATGATCTGATAGAGTTTTCGTTGCAAAGAACGAAGTTTTTTGTCTTCCGAGTTAGCCTTTACTATCCAAAATAATGTTTAAGCTGTAAAAATCGTCCATCCACAGCAAAAAGGGAAGCATTAAAGTAATTAGACCCATTCTAAGAGCAAGAAGATGAGCACAGGATTAACTCATTCACCTGTATAAACGGGACATCCGGATAAATTTAATTAAAACAATATATTTTAAAAATACACGCTGAACTCGACGTCTGCACAAGATTTACCGTTTATACCTTAATTTAATACAGACATAAAATATATATATATATTTTGTGTAAAGATTTATTAAACTTTATAGGGCTTAACATTTCGGCAAATCATATTTTTCGAATTGTTTTTATAGAAAGAAAGTCGAACAAATCAACATCGACACGTCGAGTCGGGGGGATAAGAACTGGGCTCGCTGTCAGTTCTGTTTTATTTTTTCTATATCCGGCACCCGATTTACACACTGTGTCATCCACACAGCACCTTGTTGCACAGTTTACACATGGCCAAAAATACACTCGGACCATTGTTCAATGATGTAGACAAGTCAAGAACCGAAGCTTTTTGATATCAGAAGTCCGATCGTCCGTAAAAACTCATGGACTGTCAAAATGGCTTTGGAAACAGCTACAATAAGTCTACGATCCTTATGGAGGCGATAAATGTCTGGACGGAAGAAAAATAATTTCGATCTGCCTCTACTGGAATTGAACCTCATAAATGTCACTTTGGTTGACGGAGATGTTATACTGGAGAGCAGCTACAATTTATATACCAAGGAATGATATATAATTTTACGTCCTTAAACTGTTTCCAACCGACTTTATATTATTATTAAATATTATATATATATATATTTTCCTTTCTTTTTAATCAAAAGATTACGTCATTCTACGGCCCACTAAATAGGCACGAGAACAAAAAGTTTCTACTAAAATAAAGGGGAGAAAGATATGGCAGTCGAGTCACGAAAGAATACCGAGAGAGACAAATGTGTGGGCGAGATCTCAACCCGTAATGTGGGAACTGTGATAGGATAAGATTTGACAGCCTTAGGTGACCCGATCGGCCATATGGGAGATCTGTCCGAATGTGGATGGAATATCGGACAACACGTTTGCAGAGAAAAATATACGACGAGCGACAGCTGTTGCTGTGTCCAAGTGGACAGACAACTTACGATGTGTGCGTTACACAAGTTGTTGAAAATAGTTTGACCACACACAGGCGCCTACACGAAATACAAGAATTTATCACGCTTCAACCGGCCTTTATTCTAATCTCGTTGCAATTCGTAACCGACTTTTCTCACCACGTGGAGTATTTACAAGTCTCTACCGATTATAATTAATTAAGAAAAAACTAGTAAAGGTATTTAATTAATTAATTAACATTTAATTGATTAAACTGCTATTTAAACTAAAAAAATTCGTTGTGTTTAAGACACTACTAGATTCTTTTTTTTTAATTTAAATAACACAGAATAATTTCCTTTTTACACTGTTATTTATCTACAAACATTATTAAATTCGTAAATAAACGGTACAATAGATTATATCGTTCCTTTATTATTTCTATAAAGTCTTAAACACCAGAGACAATAAGGAGAGATTTTTCTTTTAATAAATAAAAAAATAATAATAATAATATAATTTTTCGAGTATCATTATTATTAAATTAGTAAAAACGGGGATGGAGAAGCGTGACGTAAACATTTAGCGCCATCTTTCGAGTCGAATGATAAGTAAATGGTGATTTTTACTAACGAGGAAATCATTGCAGTTTTATGGTCGTGTTTAGCGTCGTATTATTTTGCAATGAATACAGATCGAGAAAAACTATAGTTATTAGAAAGTGGATAAAGAGGAAGTTAATGAGTCGTTTTGAACTCATGATGTCGTAACGAAAAACAAATTAGCTCTTTAATGCGAATTTGAACAAATGAAAATTGATATATCATCATTAAAAATCATGTAAAAATTTTAATCATCATATTTACTTTTGGAAAATTAATTAACTATTCATATAAAGGCGAAAGAATATATTAAATTTCATGGGAAGAAGATTGGAAAATGAGGATTGTTATTAAAATGGTGAAGGAGTAAAAAAAAATAATAATCGATAAGGATCATTTATCTTAATAGGTAAACTTATAAATTGCATTTAAAATCCTTAAATTTATTTTTATTTATTTACTTAATATATATATAATCTCTTATTTTTATTCTATTAAAATGATTATTTCGTAAAATTTATTTTATCTTTTTTCTTTCTACCTCAAAATTACTCAATTTTTATTTTATTTTAATACGTTTATATTTTCGCCTCTCAAGCAAAATTAATTATGTTTTATTTAACGAATAAATTAATTATTGTTTGTTTAATAAATTATTTATTCGACAGATGGCGACACTGCGCAATTCTATACAATTAAAGTTAAGATCGCCTAATTGTAATAAGTGAGTAAATTTTGAATGTCCGTCCGTCTGTCTGTTCTTCGTTAATCTCGAAAACGGAAATCGCGTGACTGTTTTTTTTTTTTAATTAAGAAATATATAAAAACTGCATCCCGGAGTGTTACAATAAACACATTCGCTTTTTTTCTTTTCTAAATTAATAATTAAACATGTGAGATGATAATTTTTGCTTAAAATGTAACATTTTTTAAAATTTGTTCAACTAATTTACCATTATAATATGTAAATTACGATCAACGATATAATATATATCTATAATAATACATATAATTATCGTAATTTTTAATAGATATCTTCAATAAAGTTGCACAAACCTTTCACATTTGAACTGTTCTTCCGTTATTATTATCTTTGTTTACATTTTCAATCACTCACTATTAATTAGAACGAACAATTACTTATTGTGATATCTTCACAATGGCGTAATGCAATTTTTAATCATATTTTAATTTAAAAAATGACGTGATTTCCGGTCCAGACCGGAAAGTTCGTATATAGTTAATCAGCTTTTCATATCTGGTCTCGATTTTCATCTATCTAACTTTGTTCTCGAGATTTAAGGAAGGACAGACAGTGGGAATGTATAGGTCTGCAATTTGAAAAATGCAGCCTACTAAGTGTTAGAACAATGAAGAAAACAATTAGAAATATATTTTAAATTATTTTCTAACTTTCTGATTATCTAAAAAATTCGCAGGCAGCACGTGGATATTTAAATTTATACTTATTTCAGTTCTAATCGAGTGTTTTTTACAGCAGATATCAGTATAAACAAATGTTATTCAATCACGTTTATGTGTTACGAATATAAATACGTTCTTCTGATAATAAAAGATCCTTCTGTAAGTTAATTCTGTAAGAGATTATTCACAAAGCGAATTGTTTCATTTGATTCTATTGTGTTACTGTTTGAATGAAGTGGTTACAATTGATGCTACACCATCATCAAGACTTAAATTAATTGCGTAAATGGATAAGATAATATAGAAGATAAAGAAGATCGTGATCATCATATTCTACATTTCATTCATATTAATTTGTAAAGGTATATGAATTGTCATTAAAGTAGAACTGCTTGAAAGACACGTATTAGCTGTTAAATTCTGTGGGAAACTTTGAGATTGATAATAAATATACCAAATAATAAATAAAAAATAACGATCAAAGTGCAAGGAATTTGTTGTTACAACATTATTAAATTACCAAGTTTCATGAAATAATTGGTAATAACACATTGTTTAATGTAATAAATGACTTTTTAGCATTAATTTCATTGATGGGGAGGAGAAGCTGAAAATAAAAGTTGTTAAATAACACTTTATTTTTAAATAAAATTATTATTTTATTATTATTTTTACCTTAAATAAGACTTTAAATGATAAAAAAAGTTATAACCTTTTTATAAAGTGTTGTCAATTAACTCCATTTATTTAATTTACTAAATATAAAAGGATAATTGTCATAAGTAATAATAAGATGCATGTTTTTATTTAATTTTTAATTAATATACTAATATTTTTTTACATAATGCATTCATTATATAAATATATTAAATTGAGATTTATCATAAGAGATATATTAATTATTTTATGAAATAAAATTGCATTAAATTCATACTATTGCTGTTTCGGTCGACAGATGGAGGCAGAAGATGAAGTGATGCAGAGAAATTTTCACAAAGAGATTTTTTTATCTTAAAAAGTTTTTATTGTAAAAAATAATAATATACATTATATTAAAGATATATCAAATTCTAAGATTATATTTAAAAAATAATAAATTTTTAATTTTTTAACCGCAATGCTCACTTGCCATGTCCCTATTCCTGATTTTGAACTTATTGAACCCTACTTATTTTAGCATATTCACTTTAAATATAATAAAAATGCTTATAAAACAATTAAACATTGTTATTAATTTAATCATAGTATCTAAAAAACATACGAGTATTTTATTTACGTAATCCAAGATATAATGGCATACTCCGTACTAATTATTAAATTTATTTTATGTATCATGGTTTAAATAAATAATAATAAACGTCCCACGTTGAGGTATATATACAAACAAGCAAACACTGGATATTCTGTATTAATAAGTCAAGTAATTTAACGAAAATTTTCTATTGCACGGTGGTATAAAAAATATCGTTTAATGGTCATTTGCTATTGTACTGAATAAAAATATTTCTGTTGAAAATCAGCACGACATCGATTTATTTCTGTGACGAGAGAGCCACGGGCTTCTTATTATTTGGTCGACTGTAGCTCTTTTTATGACATCAGGTTCCAAAATACGAACGATCAGTGCATTGCATTCCATACTTATTTCTTTATTCAGTGAAGAAGGATAAGGAAAGCGACGGTCCAATTGACGTTGGATCATTTTTTGTGGATTGGAATCGTCGAATGGCATGGTACCTGTGACCATAATGAACAGAATGCAACCCATGCTCCAAACATCATTCATCATTGGATTATATGGGGTACCACGCAACAATTCGGGAGCCGCGTATGCTGCACTTCCGCAATAAGTTTCGCTGAGAACTTTCCTACCGGTTTTGCGATCGACTGAAAAAAAAAAACCATGAAATTCTTAGCCAAATTCCTATTTTGAGAATTTAGTGCCAATTCTAGACTTACTGCATTTTCGCGAAAAGCCAAAATCAGTTAATTTGATTACGTCATTGCTCGTTATAAGTAAATTTTCGCATTTCAAGTCACGATGGCTGATGTTCTTTTTATGAAGATAGTCTACAGCTTGAACCAATTGGAAGAAATATTTTCTGGCACGATCTTCTGGGACGAAACGATGATGCTAAAAGTAAATATAAATTTAAGAAAAAGATTACAGGTCACGTATCGTAATGATAAATAAACATCAAGCAACGAGTTGCGTAACATTCCCGGCAAAAAATATTAAAATTGTGGGTGGCGTCATCTCTTATGAGATTTTATTTTAAAAACTTTTACATTATTAATTATCATAAAATGACAAAAAGTTTAATTTTAAGGTTAGAGACGAGTTTTATAAAAATAATTGTAAATGCTAATAACGAGTAAAATCTTCATTAAGTCCATCCCCACTCGAGATACGATACGTGATTCTTTCTAGCTCTCCACCCCCTCGACCTTTGACCATCAAAATTTCATAGAATTAATGCTTCTAATACACAAACCTCCCTGCAAAATTTTAGAAATTTTCGACAAAAGACACAGGAGTTATTAAGCTTCAAATTGGGTGAATAAAATCGGGGCCCACACCTTTACATCTATACATACAGAAAAAAATCCCTTAATTTTTGCATTTCTCGACGTTTTAAGGCTCCCTGAGTCAAAGAAAAAAAATTCTTGAAGGGGTCATTTTTTGACTGAAGATCATACTTTCCCTCTGTTATATATAATATCCGGGAAAGTAATAAATGAAAAATTTACCATTATATGATTAAGTAGATCACCGTTTTCAGCTAATTCCATAATGATATAAACGTAATGGCCAAAGTCTATTATGCGTTTAATCAGGGCAATATGAGGATGCTTTATTTCAGATATAATTTCCAGCTCACGTGGTAAAAATTTATTAATATATTCCTTAGATTTTTTGTTTCTAGATATGATTTTAATTGCCAGTTTCTCTCCATTTTTTTCTGCTTTTCTAAAATTAAAATTAATTTAGGTTATTCGGTCCAAAAACCAAAACTTTACTGTTATAATTTGTTCGTTTAGAAACATTTACCTAACTTTACAATAACATCCTTCACCGATTATATTTCCTACTCGATAACCTTCCTTTCTTAGAAAATCCATTGGAGTAATCACATCCAAACAAGGACCACGAGAACTTTGGCCGGTAGATGACATGGCGCCACTTTCCCAATATTCTTCTTACATGCGAAACATTATTCAATAATAATACTGTAATAATAATAATAATAATAATAATACAGTAGTATTATTACGTATTATTTTATTGTTTATTTATTTTTATTCTTTCCAACTTGTAAAAGTAAGCACGTCATCAATTCAACCGGGTCAAGGGGTGTGCACAATGGTGTGCTGTGAGATCAGCATGTATTCTTTACATTATATACATTAAGATATATAAAATATAAGAAAATACCTCACAAAATAATTTAAGACAACCAGACAATCAAGGTTTACACCATACTCTTCTATTGTGTTGGGACATTATTGTAACTATTAAACTTTGGGAATTAAAAGTCGAGGGAATGGAAGTCTTGTGTCATATCTCCAGTAGGTTCGGACTGAATTACGATTTTACTCGTTATTAGCATATACAATTTTTTTATGAAACCCATCCTTACCTTCAAAATTAATAATTTTGCCATTTTATAATATAAAAAGTTTTTAACATAAAATCTCATAAGAGATGGCGCCACACACAATTTTAACTTTTTCCCCGGAAAAGTTACGTAACTCGTTGTTAAATTTTTTTAATAAATGAATAAAAATATTTTTTTTTAAAAAACTTAAAAAGTCGTTCTGTTTTAAAAATTAATAAAATGATTTTCATGAAATTAAATGATTTATTGTGATTTTTAAAAATTCGAAGGATTAGTACTATCATTTTCTAGTGTATATTATTAGTTATTAAACTAATTAGATCATTCGGAAAATTAAAGGTTTAAATTAAATTTTATTAAATTAATCGATTAACTGATGAAATCCTAAATGAATCATCTACCGGTAGGCTTTACAGCTTAATCTAGCAAAATAATCTAATGCAAAAGAATTTTTCAGAGCAATAATTAGTTTCTAACTTTTGACAACAAGATTTGTGAGGATAATTTAATCTTAAACCGTGTTCTCTTTGCATTGCTTTAATGTTACTAATAGAAATTATCTGTGTCCAAGTATTTCAGAGAAAAATAATTTTTAAAATTAAAAAAAACTAAAAGAAAACACAGGTGGGAGCTTCTGATTAAGCAAGTCTACTCAAAGATAATATTAAATATATATGTGCTTCAAAATTCGATTGGTACCAAGAAATAACCCAGAATTGAAACTTATACGTGAAAATTTAGCAAAAATTTTATTGGGCTGCAATCTGAAAAAATTATAGACCTATATCCCCACTGTCATCCCATTTGTCTGTCCTTCGTTAATTTTGAGAACGGAGTTAGATAGATAGAATCTGATAAAAGATATGAGAAGCATAAGAGCAGGAGGCACCGATTAACTATATATGAACTCCCGGTATAGACTGAAAGTTACGTTATTTTAATTGAAAAATTTTCCCTCAAAAGGTGTTAGATAGATCTCTATTGATAACAGAAAAAATATAATGTACAGGGGCGACGCAAGTCACTACTGATTTGAAGTGGAGAACATATATTTTAAATTAAATAAATTAAAAATTGCAGCCAGACATTGTGACGATGCTTTATTTATTTATTTAATTTTTACATAAATAACGTCTGAAGACCTCAGTTTAACATGACTCTTTAACAGTAGTAAAGGCTGTTACACTAAGAATAAACTACAAACAAAACGATTCAAAACTTTTTAAAAATTCAAAAAAAAAAAAAAAAAGTGTAAAGTCTATTGTAAAATATTTAAAACATTTTTAATATTTACAAATTTTTTAGATATTTTGTTGAAAGATTTTCCGATATGTAACTAAAAAGTTAATTTAAAAAAATCATAGAATATTTGCTTTTAATTCTGACGTCAACATCTAAATTATATTTAATACATAATAAATATCTTGTAGCGTAGAAAAACATATAAGATTCTTAAAGATCTTGGATTATACAGGTTGTTCTGCTCGAAATATCCAATTTGATATAGCTAAAAAAATTAACGATTAAAGATATAAGTTTACTAAAGATTTTATATGAGAGAAAAATTTATTAAATTTCATTATAACATTTCTATATATGCTGCAGCAATCACAACAATTATATCAAGGCATTAGGCAATTTCGTGCCGTGTACAGTACACTGCAGCATGCTCTCTCTCACTGTGTCAATGGTTGAAATGATGCACTCTCGAAGTTACATAAATCATATTTTTAATATAATCCCACAGAAAGAAATATAAGGAGAACAGTTAGGGAAATCTTGGCAACCATGCTATCGGGCATACCAGACCATGTCCTGCTCTTTCTCTTATGGCAAAGCCATGAATGAACATTAATGCTGAGGATGCGACTATGTAAATGATTGTGAAAACTGACCCAGAGAGAGAGTTCTGGACATTGTTTCCTAGCGTGTAGATAAAAAAAAAAAACACTCGAATGGTGATACATACTACAGGCAATAGCTACTTTATTTACAAAATAAGGACACAGTGCTGTGCTTTGTCTGCAACTTACTTTCCACCCAGAAATATAAAAGAGTTTAGAACTTCAAACTTTGAATATAGTAGACATTAGATCTGCAAGAGCATGTATCTTTGAAGTATTTATCGTATATATTTACGATATTGTACGTACTACAAAAGAATACAATTACTAAACATAAATAAATACACTAGTTTCATGACATGCCGCTAGAATGCACCACCATCACAAGGTCGATTCAACTGACTGCCGTCTGTTGATATTTTTTGTTAAAAATTACAGTATTTTTTAAATGTCATCATGACTCTTTGTTAATATCGAATTTAAATTCAGTAGCTTTATTCATTTACAATTTTTCGATTTATTTTTCGTTTATTAGAAATTTCAAAAAATCTATTTATTTACCTAATTTTGACTTATTGATACATACATAAAAGGTGAATTCAATGAATTCATTTGTCCGAATAATGAAGACTTGTTACGTCAATTTGAAGTCATTCTTACCGTTTTCTTAAAAGAAATGCACGATAATGACGTCAATTTGACGTAATATTTTTGTAAGTTTTATTTTAGAAGCATTTAGACTAAAACGAATTATCAAAAAATATTTAGTAATTTTCTGTGATTTTAGTGTAACTTTTAAAATTTTGGTAAATAATTATACATTTTTAATAATAATTATAAGAAGAAGAATGATTGAAAGTTTAAAATAATATTTAAAATTTACATTATAGTGAAATATTCTCAAAAAATTAATTTTTCAATTAAAATATAAAAAAAAAAAATTCATTTAGTAGAAAGAAATATTGTCCCATTTTATTGTCATAGACAATTTGGCAACGTAAAGGTCACTGATCTTGAACTAGGATAAAGGGGAGAAGTGAACCTTTTAATTTAGCATAAATTTTTCATTAATTATTGCAAAATATAGAAAATTTTGGAAACAATCAGATTGCATAATAGATTTTAAATCAAATTTTAATTTAAAAAAAACACATGATTTCCGGTCCAGACCGGAAGCTCGTATATAGGTGATGGAGCCTCCCTCCAGTATGAATTCCTCCTGTTTTCGAGATTTAGGAAGGACATCCGTCTGTCCGTCCTTCCGTTCTTCTTTAATCTCGGAGTTAAATAATCGAAAATTGAAACCAGATATAAAAAATTTAGGGGTCAGAGTTCAGGTTAATTATATACGAACTTTCGATAAGGACCGGAAGTCACGTGATTTTAGTTCAAAATTTACTCGAGAACGAAGTTACCTGAAAATCGAGATCAGATACAGAAAGCTTATTATTAGAAAATCGTAGTTGCATCACCTTTTCTTCTTTAGAATCAAACTTAATCTTTGCAAATTAAGAATGAAGATTGCATTAGAAGAAAAAACTAATAATACTGTATATTAACACTTATTACCTTATAATATGTGAAAAGTAAGTTTAAGATACTTAAATAGTGTTTAATGAAAGTTTTTAACGAAGGAAATATCGACAGCGTAAGTGTGTTTATGTAGGTTGTGTGTAAGAATTGTTGTGCAATTCATCAAACGAAGAGACATGTCAGATATCTCAAACTTAAATTAATTAATGTATCGATAGATATTATAATAAAAATGTCTTCAATCAATTTTGTCATAATAATATAAAATCGACTTTTCATTACAAAAGCATTTCGCTATTTGGCAGTTTTATAACACTAGTATTGTTGTAAACACCGCACTTCAGAACCAACCTGTTATCAACTGACTCGTAAGAATTCTCTCTTTTTATCACTCTTACTTCTTCTCAAGTAAGAAATTTTGTAATTATTTATATTTATATAATATACATTAGATAACTTATCTTTTGTTTGTATAATGCACAGTACAGTACATGTCTTTTGTTTATACAGGAATGTACAAAAACTTAATTCAAGGAAGAAGGACAGTGATCGATGTTGTTCCTTATAACGTGAGAACGATTCCTTCTACTATAGAAGAATTCTGGCCACTATTAAAAATATTAAATATTTGGGGAATGCACATCAGAAAGAAAAACATTCGTAGTAGAGCTATTCTAAGTTTCTTTTTGAGCATTATTGTTAGCATGCATTATATTTGGGTTGTAATTTACATATCGTCTCTTCACACGTCGGTAGCATTAGTATTAGATAATGGTATGTACGCATTATCGGCGGTTGTCACCTGTTTTTCCATATGCCATTTTCATTACAACCGCCATCGAATTCGCAAAATATTAGAAAATCTTCCATGCGTGAACGATATTGACACTAAATTCGTAGTATCGAGAATGATAGGCACCATTTTCTTTTCTCTTACTTTCTTTGTCAATTCCTTTTGTCTACTGCTAGCAGACCCCGAAACGTTTGTGAATTTCTTATTTTTTGGAATTTTACCTAAACCATTTCCTAGAATTTATTGCATTTTCATTTTACTTATACATCAGACATTAAGAGCAATCTTGGTTAAAATTCCCGAAGGGTTGCTGTATGTTATGTACACGTCCTTGTGTAGTAAACTGAAGAAAGAATTTCGTGCTTACAAGCAATGGCTGAAATCGCAATTCACCAACGACGATATCTATCGAATGAAATATCAGGATTTAATTCATTTATATAGAAAATTCTGCGAATCCACCAAAGCTATAGATGACGTTTACTCTCCTCTGGTCATGTGGTGGTTCTTATCTTTCGTCAGTTTAATTATATTTAATATCTATGACATGACTTTAAATCGTCAATGGAAACAAAACTTTTCTTCCATACTTTTCTTAACATTTTACTGTGGAACATTTTTGGATATGACGTTAAATGCCTCTTTAATTATTCAAGAGGCTGAGGAAATTACTACAATTTTCTCTCAGTTTTTGTTGGGAAACAAGGATAAATTAGGCAACGACAGTATTATACTGTATCTGAAAATTATTCACGAGCAACCTTATTTGACGGGGTGGAGAGCGTTTATTATAAGTAGAAGCATCATTTTAACTGTAGGCAGCATGGTACTGACTTATTTAGTTGTAGTTTATCAAGTAAAATAAATACTAAATTTATTTATTTGTAGTTACAAGAGAGTTTCTTTTAAATTATTTAAAATTGTAATAAAAATAATAAAAGAATTAATACAGATATAATTGTATTATTTATTATTTAACAACCACTATAATAGTTTTTAAGCAATAAATGTTAATTAATTTAATGCTAAGAGTTCATTTTTAATATTAAAACGTGTTTATAGAGTCAAACCTGTGAACAACGGCCACTGACGAAAACATTAACAAATGGCCGTTTTTAGAGGTTATTTTATGCATTTACAAGTGACTCTTTCAGGTGGTCTTTATTAGAGATTCTTCTTATACAACTGAAACTGACAACACCTCTAAACAGCGGCCATTTTTTCAGGAATGTTTCTTCATGATGCATAAAATAACCTCTAAAAACAGCCATTTTTTTATGTTTCTACCCACATTTCTACTTAAATATTAATTAAGTACTCATTAATTAATATTAATATTAATTAAAATTAAAATAATTTTGCATTTTCTTTAATATCGAGTTTATATTTATGTAAATATTACTTAAAAATCAACAAAGAGATTGAGTTTTGAACTGAAATTTTAATGATATTGTAAAGTTTTATTATTATTATTTAATGGCGTACATATTTATGTAGCAATTAATATTAAGCAATATAAAAAAAATTCGATAATCTGAAATTTTTTTTGGATATTTTAAGTTATAATTACTTTAAAATTTGATTTATAAAGTACTATTGATAATAATCATACATAAAATACTACAGAAGAAAATTAATATTGCAAAGCATTAGTGTATAGAGGAAAGGTAATCACATATAATTATGTAATTATATAATGCGTATTTTTCTTAATGAAAATTAAAATATTGCAAACTACTCTAATTGAAATAACAGCTTCATATAATATATAATATTATATGCCACTTATCATTATTTACATTATTAATGATGTCCATCAGTTCAATGAACTAATTGATAACCAGAATTTATATTATTTTACTGAAAATTTAGAAGAAATATTAAGATTTATATAATAATACACGGAGACATTAAATCTATTATTAATTGCTTCAATAAAATCTAATTTTTCAATAAAATATATCCATTATGAAACGATTAATATAATCTATTATCATAATTACAGCAATACGGTGACGTAGAATTGAATATTTTGGAATATTATTGAGAAAAATACGAAGGTTTCAATATTTACAATGATCTTTTTGATATATATTCATAAATATTAGCGCAGGTAATGCTCGATTCTACAAAATCGGATCCCTCTATAATCAGTGATTTTCCAATTACGGATGTTGGACCAGAAAGTGGAACATTGGAAGTTGTGAAAAAGTATCTTGCAATTGTACTCTCGTTGGCAAGATACTTGTAAATAGGAACATCAAGACGGGTTATCTTGTGAGAAAGATCCCCTAATTTGCATCTATATGGATTCTCTCGAGAGCATTGGCAAGCGTATGATCCACCCGAAGCTACATAATATGGATCGTAAACAGGGCCAGCAGTTTCACAATACGTACTACTGTACTCGTTTCCTGTTTCTACAGCTCTTTCGGCAATGTTCCATCCATGGTTATACGTGGTTGACTTTACATCATTTGCCGAATGAGATAATTCTACGTAAACTGAAGTATCCGACATTGGATTATCTTTGGCTTGGCGAAATATGACTTGTCCTTGTACAGGGTGTACAAATGTACTGAATGCAGTGACGGTTTCGCCGTTTAATTCAATATTAGCACAAGATAATGGGCTTCCATCCGGATAATAGACTACTAAAGCTCTACCTATAACGCTATGGATACCGAAGAGAGTCAATTGCGTGTCATAGACTTGAAGGAAGTGCTTCTTTCGATTCTGCAAAGAGCCATATTTACCACTGAGATCTCCAACTGCGTATTGATCCATACTACCGGAACCGGGTTCGGGAATATTTTCCGGTTGTACTTTCAGGGGATTGTACATGACTTTTGCAATGTTTGGACACGAAAACGACTTCTTCCCACGATGAATAATTGGCAAATCGTCAATGCCAAAACTGTAAGCCCTCTGTCGAAGATTATCTAAATCGATTGTCACTAGAGTTGGATCGATGGGCGATTCCTGTGCGAAACTGATTTCTCCAGATATGCTGGAAATAAATTTGGCACTGGCTATTTTTGTAACCATGGGTAACAATCTTCCACAAGCTATCACTTGTTCGGGTTTGCTGTCAGAAAACAAAAGAAGATAAATGGTTCCCGGTATGGATTCTAAAGTTACAACATCTCCCAAATTATGAAAGGTGAGACCAGCTGTTACACCAGGAGAATGCCCAACTGCTAAATAATTAGTATCTCGAGGAAAAGATGGAAGAAAAGTCGAAGACAGAAGACCAGAACATCTTGAAATTTCGTGCCGGTGACTGTCTTGAAGACTGTCAGTTTCTGCCGTTCTTACAAGAGACCATCTACCAAATTAATTATCGAAATTAATGCATTTAATAATCTCAATTATAAAGTAAAAAATAATATAACTTACTCGTGAGCGGTTGTCCTTCTAGTTCCATTTACATAATATAAATTGGAAAATAAATAAGTGCCAAATTTAGTTTGTCGTACAAAAACTTCTCCTCCGAGAGGTGTGTAAAAAGTGGCTTTGTAGGTCTTAATTCTACTTGTGGGTCTTATAGTAGCGCAAACTATTTGACCTCTTTCGACTCCTTTCAATACTAAAGTTCGTCCTACTATAGAATCGGAACCATCTAGTTTAACTTTAGATGAAAACATGGCATCTTGACCCGATTTCAAATGTCCATGAATGGGAGTGAAGTCATAAATACTGCAAAAGGATAGAAAAAAAAACACAGTTATAGGTGTATATTTATTCGTGATTTAAACTAACTTTACAAGATTAAACTTCCAGGAAGTAAGTTTAAAATAAACAGGAAGAAACATAATTAACTAAATGAAGAGAAAACAGAAAAATTAAACAGGTTTGAAAACCGGAATGTTATTTACTCCAACTTAGTTGTTTATAAATAATATGCAGTATGATTATAATTTATTATCTTGCATTTTATTTCCTTTTTCTATGTATTTAATTCTCAATAAAATCAAATAAAGAATAAATAAATAGATAAAAGTCATAATAAAGTAATTAAATGTGTGTTACCTTCTTCCTATATTTTTTTCTTTGCAATCTTCCCGGGTACTTCCTGTTAATGGGAATTGATAGATCATCCATTTATAAACTTCTCCATAAGAATTTCCGTGAAGTAAAACTCGGATTGTAACACCGGATCCGGAATTATCCGGGAAAAATTCGATGTTGCCTTGTAAACCGTCAGAATTAATGAGTGCCACTAAGCTTCCACCATTAGTTTGGCCAACTAAGAAGAAAATTACAAGTAATTTTTATAATTATATTTATTCTGTACGCTTATTTTTCTAAGAATTAATGCCGTTAGTATAATTTTAATTATATTTAACAAGGATCTAATTGAAATTAAACAGCAATTGATGATGGCTCATAGTTTCTTAATAACAATAAGAAATGTATAAACTTATTTAAAGTTAATAAAATTGCGTGACGAGTCTTTGGACATGTGACACGTCTGTGGAATGTAGAAAAGGTTGAATTCCACCCCTGACATGTCCTACATTGAAAAGCCGGCTGTAATGAAAACAGAGAAAACGAGGACAACCTCCAAAAATTTTAATTTTATCTTTAACTGAGGCCTCATAACTGAGGAGTGGGGTATAAATACTGATATATAATTGATTTCGGAAGGTTTAACTGTAAATATTTTATAATTTTTCTTATAGAATTTATTATTCTTTATCAAGTTCATCGAAGGTTGTCGTCGAAAATCCTCATTACAACCTTACGAAGGACAATTAAAAATTGAGATCACAGTTATAATTATATTATTAATGGTAAAAATTCGGGGAGAAAAAGAGAAATTTTTACTCAGCCGTTTATAATAGAACCACTTTACATAAAAATAGCAAAATGTATTGTTATTATTTTAATAATATACATAAATTTAAATCTGTTCCTATGTTTATAAGTCGATGGAAAGAACTAAGAAATCAGGAAATAACCATTTTCTAGTATAACATTCAGCCTTGTGGAACAAAATACTGTTTTTTAAACACGAGAGTACCTGCTTGAAAAGTCGAAGGTGAATGCTCTCTTCGATAGAAGAAATAAAAAAAAAAAAAATATATATATACATTTTAAATTCAAAATAATTGCCTATAAAGTTGCTTAAATGTTAAATTATATTATTTTTAAACACTTAATTATAATTAAAATCAACCTTAAAATGTGCCGAGTGTTTATTGCCCATAGAGAAATTAAATAATCATAAAATCTGATGAATCTGAAAGTCGTTTATCTGGAATATTTTGGTAGTAAATTAATTACAGGAGTAATGATGCTATCTCTATGAAGAATTCGGATTCTAGATGAATTCGAATATCATTCTGATGGATGTTTTCGAATTAGAATTAGGTCAAGGATGAAAGAAATCTGGTTCTACTAGAAATCCATAAATCGAAAGTACAAACAACTGATTTTATTTCTTATTAATAGGCATCTTCAGGCTACGAAAAAAACTGTTGAAAAATTTATATACATATAAAATAGATTCTTTCGTTTTCAATTTGCAACTCGGAAAAAACATTTTTTAAAATGCTATTTTCCTAATCATGTGTCTGCAAAGAGTTTTTCAAAGATTTTTATTGAAAATTTTTGCATGTCAACGAAATTCATTCTATAGAAAATTAGCCTGGAGATAAATTAATCGGATGTAGTTTCACGAAATGGTTTTCAATTCTGGAGAATTGACCTACTAAGCGAAATGATCAGATACAAATCTGAACAGGAAGCGTTTAGAAACGTCCTCTAAACTCGTCGCAGGTTCAAAGGTCACTGCGTGGTTTCCACTTCCACACGCATCCAACAGAGAAAGTCACTGAAGAAATCAAATGAGTGTATTGAACTCTACAATAAAGTGAGCAGATGCCCCAACTAATTTTAGGAAATTTGACCTTATATATATATATTTTTTTTTTTTCTGGTAAAAAGTGATAATAACCTCTATTTTCAGTGTACAGTACGTGTCACACGGTTTCCTTCACTTAAATGTAATTGAACTTTCATGGTCTATTGAAGAAATAATAACCTTTATCGTCTTTATCATAATATAAAATGATAATAACAAGAAATTAATCGATAAATTTAATATTTAGAAGAATATTTCATTATCTTTCGCGTATAATGCGTACCAATAATAAATTGAAATAGCGATTAAAATAATTTAGTAATTAATTAATACCCGATAATTAGTAGCACCCCAATGTAATCCAATGGTTGTTTGGCTTTACAAATTTATTGGGTTTCATGATGTTTATGCAATTGCAGCAATTTAACCTACTGTATAAAGATACAGATGAAGATACCAGTGAAAAATATACAATTTATATGTTACATATTGTATATCTCTCAGTGATATCTTCATCTGTATCTGTACAGGTTAAACTGTTGCTATTGATGAAGAATTACTTAGTTTTATCATCACATTTCTGTCGTAAATTACTGAATTTCATTTTTTTGGCCTATTTTTAAAAGACGCCTCGTCTTGACAGGAAATATGAATAAATATATTTAGATTTGTTTTACAGAAATGCTTAATTTTATTATCAAGTGTGGCATCAACATAGGGGGTAGTCTAAAAATTGGTGACAAAATGTGCCAGAAAAGGGGAGGTAGATAGTCAAAAAAAGACTTATAATTGGTGACATCATATTTGAACAACCCTTTATATGTACTCAGAGATGTAAAATTCAAGTCTGAAGCACAATATTTTAGCCAAAACACATAATCAAAATAAAAACAAACAAACTGACCAATTTCTCTTCAAATCTTTGGATATTATGATATAATAGATACACTAACAAAATTCTATCATAAGATGAAAAAATAAAGGGATTCCCTACCAGATTCTTCCATGTTGCATTTGAAGGGCACAAGATTGCAGATTAAACATTAGTTTGAAGTTCAATACACCTAAACGCCATTATTATAGTGTATTATGTATTACACACAGTAACTGATTATAAGATACAAGTTTATTTGTGATGTTTGGAACTATTATTTTTTTATGGTTACTTTACGATACAATTCCTTCATATGACTAAAATTTTCTATTGTCAAAAGAACTACTTGCAATTTACTAGCAACCATACTACCTTGGAATTATAATATTTCAATAGCACCAATAGTGGATGTTATTCTGAACATCCTAAATTTTTGGAGAACAAAATTAGCTTATAAACAGAATATTTCTTTATATATTTCTCACTATACAAGTCACTTGCATCTTACACATTATAGATCTTCAAAATTCCTATACTTTGTGAATCACTTCAGGAGCATCTTTACTGTATTAAATGTCAAATTTATCTTGACATTTTTTTGACAACATGTCTGAGGAATGAGTGATGACTAGCATATGACATCACTTTGTATCTATTTCACTTGTATCGTTATTTCCTTTATGTCATTTCTCATCTTCATGCATGCTTGCTGCCTTATTTGTTTGACATTATATTCAGCAATACATAAATTTAAAATAAAAATACTTAACTGAATACATAAATTATTAATTGTATTATTATTTTTGATTTTTTGAATATTTTATTATGATATTATTGTTATTTTATTGTTTATTAGAATAATAAAAATATAGTGATTGATTTATTAATTAAATTTATTATATAGACTCATAGTAAACTTTTTATCATTTGTGTTGCTTACTAATTCAAATTTAGAGAACTGAACTATTAATTAAATTTACTGACCATCTACTTATATTATTAAATATCTCTAATTAGGAATATACTGTAATTTTCTAACATAATAGTTACTTTGGCCTCATTGATTCATTTACTAACTGACATAATATTTGAGCAGCAGATTACAAACAAAAATGAAATTTTACAGTTAAAAGAAAATATCAAATATATCATATACACTTGAACAGATACACTATGAGCTTACTTTTTTGGGTATATGAGTCTATCCATTTAGAGTATGGATTTATTCAAGTATGTAGGTTTATTTTTATTAAAAGTAGTGTGTTAGTATGAATAGTCTCAGNTAAAAAAATATTGGAATTACTTTTATATCCACAAAGTATTTTGGAAAGAATTAATTCTAGTTTATATAAATCGGATTATGTACCAATCTCTCTATAAAAATATTTCTGTTTTTAGCTTACTTATAAGAAACAATTTAGCTTGCTTACAACAATATGATCCAACTTTCATTCTATTAAAGTTTTTAAGAAGTTTTCAGTTAATTTCTTCCTCATTCGAGTTTCTTCTTTTTATTTATTTTTTTAATCTTTCGTGCTCTTTGTTTTTATACACTAAATGGACAATAAAAGTAAACTAAATCCGTCTTGTGGTGGATTTATATTATCTTATTATCATTAATAAATTGGCTAGGTTAAATTCTTTTTTATTTTGATTGTTACTTAATAATGTAAAATATATTTTATACTATATTTAAAGCTTGCTTCTCTTTGCTGCATTATATAAAGTGGTTGAAAAGTAACTAGGTATTGGAAAATTACTGTAGTTTTAACATTTATAAATAAAAAGTTATGAAAATTATTTATCACGTATAGTATCAAATGGAAATACGGATGTATACCATAAAATTTAATGTGGGCACTGGCGCGGTGCCATACACCAAAGATACCTTTTCCTCACATCGTGATGTGAATGGACGATCACTTCTCTGTTCGTCCGCAACCGAATCTGTGGTCAATTTAGCTTCGAATGACAATTCTTGATTGTTTGCAGACGAATTGTGAAACAAAAATTTTTTTGCCGTACGCAACCAGCTCCGTACATCAACCACTAATTTCCACATCTTATAGCGTGCAGCAGCAATCTGTGCTCTCTCCTAAACAGACAAGAAGTCAATCATGTTTTTTTTTGCCACTGCATATGCAGCCTTTCAATATCCACGCCACCAATTCGAAATTATAAACTATCATTTATTGTTGCACATGCATACATAAATTTTATTATGATAGTATTTTTATTACAAAAATTACAGCGATTTATTAATGTCTAGTTACTTTACACCCAGCGGCGCAGAAGGAAGCAAAGAGAAGCAAGTTTTAAACATAACTTAAATTATTTATTATTAATTTTATTTGATTAATATTACAGAAGTAAATATACGATAAGATATTAAAATAAGATTGTTTTTAAATTATCTTTCCTTTAGCAGTTTAATTGGCATAGGCCTATTGAATTGACCCACGAACTTAAATAAAATGAAATTTGACCTCAAAAGAAACTGGATTGCTAAAAGATAATTTATTACAAATAGTTGCCGTAATAAATATTAATTAGATATTATATTAAATATTTCATAGCATGTAAGTTATATATTATATTCTATATTTTTACATGATATTTACGTATAAATAAGTGTTAAATTCGATTATTATCTAGTTAACTTTTGAAAGAATAAATTTAAGAAATTTCATATAAATCTTGGATTTTTAGACAGTTTATTTTGTTTTTTATAAAGTATGGTTTTATAAAATATAATTATTTAGTTTAACGCTTAATTCCTGGACCTTTTAAAGGCTATCCAATGCTAAAATGGAGCATAGATATGTTTATAATTTTATTAAATTAAATACTTCTGAGCTAAATTGCTCAATATTTTAATATTTTTCCTCAAATGACTTATAAAGATAAAATCTATTAAAAAGCAATTTAATAAATACGCAAATTATTAATATTTTATGCACTAAATAATCCTTGATTTGATTTTTAAGTATTAAAACATTCATTTTACTTGTTTTTTTCTTAACTTTTTCTGAATGTTTACGCTTAAAAATTTAATAAATTCGGAATATTTTGAAAAATGATCCACTACATACATAATTTATAACATATTAATTTATATTTTAATAATATAATGTATATACATTATATTATTTTATTGTTATGGGTTTCATTCTTATGCAGGAGGGTGAAAATCTTTTGTCTCAATCAGACTATTCCTAATGTAATTAAAATAAATAAATATTAGTTTATTTATTTATTTATATTATATTTTTATTGTTACGCTGGAGAGTAGAAATCTTTTGTCTATTTTCCTAATGTAGGTTATACTTTAGTTTGAACTCGGCGAGATTGTCGCAGCGATATTTGTTACCTCGGAGAGATTTAGTAATATAAATATTCGTTAAAGATTTCTATTATGTAATTTAATGATGATTAATATCCTTTCTCTAAATTTTATTTTTGATTTCCTAGTGATTTATATTATCATTTAAAGCGGTTATATAGCTGGCGAAAGCGATTTGCGATGCGACGTGAGTAGCGAGTCGTATTATCTTTTGGAGAAAAGCAGCGGTAAAATGCTGTTTTTAAATATATATAAAATTAATTAAAGTAGAGAAATATATAATATAATCATTCTATTTATATTTTAATAATATTAATAATAAGTAAAATAATCAATTTACCATCTCATTTCGTTTATTTTTGCAATGTCTATAGGCCTATATAATTTTGTCAGCGATATTGTCTTTATATTCTGACATAATTTTTATCTTCGGAATATTTAGGTTAACACTTCTTTGTCTTCTGTTGGTTTCTTTATTTAATAATAGCTGAGATTCCGTGACGATTTGGACAAGTAGCGAGCGAGTGACCGAATGATGAATGCGATGCTATACTTTAGTCGCTTGACGCTGCGACTATATCCAATCGGTTTTAATATAAGCAAGAGCGAGAAATTCTCATCGCATTGACAAATGTCGAGGCGTGTTTTCGATAGTGAATGCGACAAATTATTAGCGATTATCGCAATTTTTTTCTCTTTTCTCGAAAATAACTGGATACGTAAAACCTCCTTTGTAATGTTTATGATGTTTTGGCCTATTTCGAGTTACTGATGTACGAGATAGTGTCAAATTTTTGGCATAGGTTTTATTACACATTACACAGAAACTCTTTTACTACATCACCTTCAAAGTAGCTTGAAACTGTCGCTGCGACTATACACTTGTCAGAATCCATATCACTTGTCAGCAGTCTTAGAAATGACTTCTTTAAGTACTTTCATTTATGCTGATCTTTCAATTTTAAGATCAAGGAAGATAGAAGGGATGATCAGAAGCAAGATCAGGGAAGTAGGGACATGGAAAGGCATTGCAATATCTTATTTCAGATTTGTTGACATATTTAAACTCTAAAATGAATACCAAATTAGTGTACAGCAGGAAATAAATTTTTAGTATTTAATCAATATTCATAGACTTTAATTTCGAACACTTAACACATATTTTATAATATTAACGTGCAAATACTTGAATATGCAATATATCCCACTTATGGTTATATGAAATGCCATATTTCAGTATATATTTTTTATTATCCGTTTCGGTATGATATTATATACTTTAAATTACACTTGAATAACTTAAATACAATATATGACACTGGGCTTAGGTAATACGACTTTTTCTGGGGGTCAGTTAGGTACTGTACATAACTGATTTTTTTTTTCAAGTGTTTCCGTCCTGTGAGTACTAAGAGGGCCGTTTTAGCATGCCGCACTGTAGGTTCGGCCAGGCCCACATATCCAGAGCAGTAAACAGGAGAAGCAATATTTGTATTTACAATAAGTATCGTTTTCTCTGTTAATAAGGACAGGAGAGAATTTCTGTTAAATTATTACCTGGTTATTATTAAATCACTATTTGACATAAATAAATCACTGTAAACAATGGCTTATGCCACAAGGGTAGATCGTATCACTGAACAAAAGTTTAATTGAATTGTCTAGTTTATATTATGTTTCATATCGTGATTCTAAAAGTTCTAATGATCTTTTATTTTTATTTTCGTTAATTCATTTTTTTAGCTTGAACTGCTTTATTCTTTGTTTGCTACTAAATTTACAAAGTCACGAAACATTATGTAAAACGAGCAACTATTTATTGTGACATCGTCACAATGCCGGGTTGCAATTTTTTTAATCATATTTTTTAAATTTATTTCATTTAAAATATATGCTCTCCACCTAAAATTAGTAATCTTGCCCCTGTACAGTATATAATACTTTTCCTGATAACAACAGAGTCATGCTATCATCTATCTAACTCCTTACAAGAAAGAAATTTTGAATTGAAATAACGTGACTTCTGATTTGTATTAGAAAATTATATACAGTTAATCGCAGCTTCCTACCAATATAGTTTCCATATATGGTCTTGACTTTTATCTATCTAACACCGTTCTCGAAATTAAGAAAAGACAGACAAACAGATGAACAACAGTGGGAATTTATCAGTCTACGATTTTTTCAAATTGTAGTTCAATAATATCAAAACTTTTATGCAATAATTTAATTAAGAGTTTTTTTTATAAAAAAGCTTAAAAGAATTCATGATTTTCTTTAAAAATTCCTATGTTTCAAAGAATTTTCAAAGAAATTTTTAAATCAGAATTAATTTTTTTTAAGTTCGTAATTTTAAATAATATTATTGCTTATAGAAATCTTAGCAATTCCTAATATAACATTTAACGTTACTAATTATTTAAAAAAATTAATATGGATTTATAAATCAATTTTAATTCGTAAGTCTGTAAATATAAATATCCTTGGCTTTGTTGTAAAATATTTAACATATATTCTGCAAATATTTTCTAAATTTATAATAAATTATTTCATGCTACTTAATCGAACGATGAGCAATTACCCTTCAGATATCAGTTTTATTTGGATAATGTATTTTTAAATAATAAGTTACATTCAAGATCCCGAATTTACCTTATTAATACAATGTTAAGGACATTTCATTTTTGCTGCATCATCGTATTATATCCTTTTCATAATTCTGAGAAATGAGTTCTCAGGAACTCATTTCTCAGAATTACGAAAAGGATATAATACAGAAACTGTTAACACCTATTCATAAAGCAAACAATTCAAGGCTTCATACAAGGATATGAACATTGAATTAATATTGGAAACGTGTCAATTAATACTGATATTGTAAAACTATACACATACAAAAATATACAAGGCAGTAAATTACTTATATTTTAAACTGTTTACTTTTACATAACAATTTTTCATTACGTCTTAAGAACACTTAATTTCTTGTTAAAGAAAATAAGAAGCATAAAGAAAAATTTACTTTGTTAAACGAGTGTAGAAAAGAAATTTTTATTAATAAAATAAAATTCAGAAAAATAATTATTTTGTCTTTTTTTTTATACTTTTCTTTCTTGTTTTCATTCCAGTCGCACTTTTTGTAATTTCATCCATCAGTTTGGCCTTGGATCTCTATCACGCATCAATAACAATGCCAATTCTAGAACTGGATACACTCCACTTTAAGTGTCATAAAATAACATTTTACATTAAACAATTTTAAAGATAAAAAACACTGACATAAATAATATAATAAACACGTAATTTATTTTCGTTTAAAGTAGCATTTACAGAAAAATGCAATTACATAAAAACACAGATTACGCTTTTATGTAACAACATTTTGATTTCAAGGCTAACAGCAACCTTCAAATTCCTTAATGACCATATCTATTTTAGATTTGTTTAGGACTTATATCTTTAAATGAATTATTTATTTCTGTTGTTTGAGGGATCAGCGAACGTGGCCTGAATCGCCGGATTGATCTTTGCTGTTCATTAGTGAAGATGAGCCTCATTTGGATTGGTTAGAAGGGATTGTAGCTACGTTTTAACCTTGAAAATTTGATGTATATGTAAACAAATTCCATTTTAATGGAGGTTAAATACTGACAGTTTCTTTTGTGATTAAATTATTCAAATATATGTTAAGACAATTTTGTTAAAGGTATAAAAACAAT